AGAGAGAGAGAGAGAGAGAGAGAGAGAGAGAGAGAGAGAGAGAGAGAGAGAGAGAGAGAGAGAGAGAGAGAGAGAGAGAGAGAGAGAGAGCAGCAACATGTCAACACCCTGCAACCTTCTCCTCAGCCGTGCAGTTTGTTCACAAACCGGATCATAGAGGAAATTGAGGCAGAACAGAGGAATGCACTCGTCTGTGGCAAATGAACAGAAAGAGAGGAGAGGGGAGGGTGATTGAGCGACGGCTGAGATGGACGATTCCAGCACCTGAGGGATGTAGGGTTGTGACGAAAGAAGTGGGGACAAACGGGACTAAGATTGTGATCGGTTGCAGAAACCACCAAAGCAAACTGAAGGAGTGGCCACACTGGTGTAGGCAGCAGCTGAAGCTATTACTAGCAGAAGAAACTGGAAACACCATGCATGTAGAAAAAGTAGCACATCTCTCCTTTGGGACAGACATCCGTTAAAATTGGAACGAAAGTACGATACAGAGAAGATTAGCACGGTCCCTGTGCAAGGATGGCATGCACAAATTGAGAAATAGTCCAAATGTCCTAGCTCAGTTGGTTGAGCACGTAAGTGGTACACAGGGGGTCATGGGTTCGACTCCCCGCGACATCCATTCCACATTCTCCACGAACCCCTGTGTGGCATACTTCGGGTTCACCGACTGACATTCCAGCTCTTGGCAGGTCTTAGGAGCTCGGGTGGTGGTCCCCGCACAGAGCAGAGCTAGGTAGGAACAGGCCCATAACCGTTGGGTGGTTTCGGCGTAGTTGCTAGATTTAAGACCGACTCCTGAACTGAGGAATTGTCTCCTCCGGAAGTAGAGGTAAACCCATTACTTAGGTAGCTAGCATGAGGTAGATACAGGATTAAAAAAAAAGAAGAGGTAGATACTAAAAGGGCCTTTACGAATCAGACCCCAAATGGATGCCCCAGCAGCAAGGGGCCCAGTCGGCCAAAACTTAAATTCACAAGCAGTAACTCAAAAGACAAAGTTCCTGAGTAAGTGTCGCATCCAGAATGAATTAAGAAGACATTTTGAACAGTCACGGGCAGGACCTGAACGAACAGGTATTGGATACAATTTTCAAGACTGAGTTAGGGTCATGTCTCCTCGATGAAAAGACTCTGTTCGGAAACGAGTCAAAGGCTACAGTCCCAGTCCAGTCATAACCCCACGAGTCAGTCCTGATTCAGACCAGGAGTCCAAAAGACAGGCCCGATGGCCCAGAGCAGCAGCAGACCATGGGAAAAGATACTGGGACACACACTTTGCAACACCAGGTACTGGGAAGGAAGTCCCAGACCCTGGAGGCCGAGTTTTCAGCCCTCGCCAGACCAGTCCAGCACTATAAAGGACTGGCCAGCCTCCACATTCGGGAGAAGCTCACTTCATATGAGTGTGTGGAAGTGCTGTGGCACTTGTGCGCCAGATGTGTGTGAGTTGCGCTAGGCTGAAGAGGCAGCGCTATGGAAGAAGAAGAGAAGAGGGCGCTGGCAGAAGGAAGGCAGCCATAGCTGTGCCAGTGCTGGTTAGAGTTAGTAGGGATAGTCCGTAGGGATACCAGTGAGTAGCATTCATAGTAGATCCTCGTGTGATAGGTAGTGTGCATGTATTGTGAGTGTGAGTAGACCAGGACAGTAGACAGAGAGGGAGAGAAGAGAGACTAGGCGAGAGAAGAGAGAGAAGAGCTATGATGATACTCACCTGTTGGGCGCCATACCTGATGATTGGAGGCCAGCGCTAATGAGCGCCAGGCCTGGAACTCATGTTGAGAGAAGAAGACTTGAAATACAGTTGGGCGTAATAACTTTGAACTCGTGATTCTCCTTGTCTAATCTGGTTATGATAATTGAGTTGTATCTACCTGGCTACCAAAAAAAACCTTTTACGCGATTATTGTCACTTCGCCATATTTGTGTTAATTCAGTCCGAACTAGTTTATTTTTGCATATCCTTTTTATTTGTTTAGGCAAAATCATTTTTGGTTCACCAAACACTTCTACATTTTCTACTCCAAAATTGAAGTCATCTCCAATTTTTCGTTTTTCTTCCAGTTCATGTTTCAAACAAATGAATCGAGTTTTCAGCCCTGTTTCAACCACCACATCTCGTGTGAGAACTCGTGAGAGACTTTTGCAATCTGTGTAACTTGCGTGACATGCATGTTGATTGGGACACTCCAGCAAGTGACGAACCTACAGGTTCCTTGCAATACAGGAGTGAGAGACGAAAATAGGGTAGCAAAAAATACCGCTTGTCCCCCATTTATGAGGAGAAGACAGCTGTATTCATTACAACAAAAAAAAAAAGGGAAAAAACTTCCCGAAAAGTTTAAAAAACCTAACGTATTATGTGCGGCTTTACTCTTTCAGAGGGCAAAACAATATCCAAATACAATAAACTGGAGCACCCTCGCGGACCCTCCAGCATCGCCCTTCTGCCTCGTCCACTGGGATCTCAGTAGCTTTGCCAAACTGATGCACAGCCGTTAATGGTACCACTGTATCAGTAATGGACTGCAGATTACATAGCCCCCAGATGAGCAGGAGCGGCAAGATCTCAGCGTGTCAATAGTGCAGAGGACAAAGGAGGGAGACTTATAGCATATAATATTATAATGCCATATATTAGAATTTAGAACCCCTTACCAACCAGCCTAGCTCAGTTGGTACACCCACGAGCTGCTGAAATATGAATCAGACTCAAGTTCGAATCCAGATACAATCAGATACTACCAGTAATAACATAAATTCTGAATTCCCTGGGCCCGTTCAACTTCAAGGATGGTATCTCAAGGCCGACGCCCTTTTGAAAAATCAAAAGAAAAAAGAAAAAGAGAATTTTGAACCACATCGACAGAGATGCATCATATGTGTTGGAGATTGTGATTAATGAGAGAGGCTATATATCATATAGCAAGTCCATTCCTTAGTCCGTGCTAAATTGCTAATGGATGACGCCAACAAGATTGGATGAGACAACATCGAAAGGAACGCTACACAGAAAACAGAAAACAGGGCAGGGAAGCAGAAGCGGACGCAAAATCTGGAGACGAGCAAAAATTGACATGATGCCATGATGATGGTGATGGACAGCCGGGGGGAGAAAAAAAGGAAGACACAGGTCTTTGCAGTGCAGCACATGCGGACAATTACCGTACGATCTCGTAAATGCGTGACATCATACAGGCGCAAAGCCGCCATCATTTCTTGCTTGCTCTCCTGCATCGCAAAAAAAGAGGCGATTCGTGAGTCGCTGCTACGCAGTTTTGCAGTAAATACTAAACAAAAGTTTAACAAAGTTAAACAAACACAGTTTCATTTTTCCTAAGTTCCTTTCCCTTGCCTTTTCCACACCAAACAATTTTTAAAAAAAGAGCTTTTGGCATCGTTTTCCGAACAGCTGACAGTGCAATTCTCCAGTACCTGTCTTGTATTCATGTTCTTTTTTTGACCCCGATCGTTGCCAGCAGAAGAGTAGGAGGGAGGGAGTCCGAGGGAGGGACACGACCCCTTTTTTTTTTCCCTCTGCACCGGTCTGCGGCAAGAACAAACAGCATGCGCAAGCATGCGAACCCCGGTTATGCATAAGAAACGCTTTGCTTTGCACAACTAAAAGCAAGAGGTCAGAGATGTGTGCTTTTAGTTATGCATAAAAAAATAAGAACCGCTTTGCATAACTTAATGCATAACTAAAAGCAAAAGGGAAGAAATGTTTGCGTTTACTTATGCATAAGAACCGCTTTGCATATCACGAGAATGATTGAAACAAGGGTATCCAGTCCAGGCACTGACATTACGCAGAGACGGATGTGTAGGTTTCCTGATCACGAGATGGTGCTTTCAGCCTTTTATATAGCGCCAGGAAAAGTGTGGGAATCCTGTCCTCGAGGCACTTTGGTTCGCATGCTTGCGCAGCTCAAAGAAGATTTCAACCTGGAGCTATGTATAGGTTTCGAACACGAATTCTATCTGCTAAAACCAGCCACAGGGAGGCTTTGACCGTGTTGCCCCGTTGCTCTCTCGCATGAGTGATACCTTGGCTAAAATGGGGATCATCGTCGATCTGATGAATGGTGAGTCAGGTCCAGGGCAATTTGAAATCGTTCCGCCGTACAGTGATGCTCTCTCAGCAGCAGATAATGTTATTTTCATAAGGGAGGCAATGACATCAGTTGCTGACAAGGAGGGCGTATGAGCAACTTTCATCCCATCGTATTTTAAAGGCGCATGTGGCGCTGGAAAGCACATTCATTGTAGCATCTGGGAATCAGGGGAGAACGTGTTTGGCGGATCTTTCGATGATCCAAGCACAAAATGGGGTATTTCAAAACGTGGCCAGCAGTTTGTTGCTGGAATTCTTCACCATCTTGCAGGTCTCGTGGCTGTGACAGCCCCAAGCCCTAACAGTTTTGAATGCTTGGTTCCTGGGAACTTTAGCTGTGCTTTCCATTGATGGGGCACTGAGGGTGGTGAGTCCATTTTCGACAGGCCCCGCTATAGCAAACAATTTTGAGCTCAGGGCGATTGATGGTTGTTCCAATCCTTACCTTGCACTTGCTGCCAGCGTGACTGCGGGGATGGACGGCTTGCGACAGGGCATGACCCTGACTGAACCTGCCGAGGGAGATGCGGCGAATTTCCCCGAAATGCATAAGCGTCTGCTTGCCACATTGGGAGGCAATAGTGGAATCCGAGAAGGATGTGGTAGTCAAGAGTGTGTTGGGTGATTCTCTTGCCGCTGCTCTTCTTTCTGTCAGAAAGTATGAGGCAGGCTACCACAGGGAAGTTGGTTCGGTGGCTTTCAAGGGGTTGCTTGTCCTTCGACATTAATATGCGGGCCAGGCACTGAGCACTTTGGATGGTTTGCCAGCAACAGCCACTGAACACTTCCGGCTGCGCAATTGACGTCCAGGCGACAAAAACCATCAATGGAAAAGCTGCGTGAAACGCGTTGTTGGGAAAAGGGCAAGCGCATTGCACAGTGCGCTGCATCAATAGGAGGAAGGCGTAAATTCAACATCAAGGGGATAGACAAAACACCATCAGGGTGACAGAAAGAAGCATGCTGGATGCACCTGCCCATCTTTCAGGGTTTTGTTCATTGATGCAAAGGGACCAAGTAAGGAATGGGGAAGAACTGAGTGCGGAATCTCTTCACACAGGCCAGGCGTACTTTATGCAAATAGTAGCCCCGATGACAAATAAGGGCTCACTGCAGCATTTCTTGTAGTGGATGATATATTGCGACATCTGCGATGTGGATGGAGTCTGCATCGCAACATTCCAGATGGGACTGCGCACTCGTCACCACATTCGTGGCCAAGCATTCATCCTTGAGTGTGTGTGTGTGTGTGTGTGTGTGTGTATGCAGTCTGGAAAATTTTGAAAAAAAGTGAGCCGCAGCCGATAGCATCTGCGGGAAAACGAAAAGCGCTACATCTTTTTCAAAACCGCACTCGTTTTTTACCACTGAGTATCAAGGATATCCTTGTGGGTGGGTGTTTTTGAGTTTCGCGTAAATGAAGGTGTCTCACGCCATCAAAAAAAGGGAAAAAAAAAAAGAAAAAGAAAGAACCTCTTTGCATAACTAAAAGCAAACAAAAGGTCAGAAGTAACAAAATTCCAAAAGGTATTAGGAAAAGGGATTGGACTCATTGAAGGGAAAAACGTGAGCTAAGGTCGACCCACAAGTCTGTGGCTGCCTTTCCAAGATGTGAGATTCTGGCCTCCAAAGAAAAGATGAGAAAGTCTAGCACAATTACCCCAGCACAAATACAAAGAGAGCTCTCCATGGTCAATCAAGTAAGCCATTCATGCAAAGGTTGATAAAATGAATGACCAAGCAAAAGAGAGAGAGAGAGAGAGAGAGAGAGAGAGAGAGAGAGAGAGAGAGAGAGAGAGAGAGAGAGAGAGAGAGAGATGAACACTTGCAAGTAGGACAAAATGCGCGAGGCTTTACTTTCACAGCGCACACATATTGTCCACAACTTGCGGTAGACACTACCGTGATCACCCTTCTGCCTCACTGCTCAGGTGATCATCTCAGCCATCATCCAGACACTTGTACTCTTTCCTAGATCCATCCATCCAAACATTCCACACTGCCTGCACTTTCCCACGTCTGCTAACATCTTTCTGACACTCATGTTCCTAGAGAGAGAGAGAGAGAGAGAGAGAGAGAGAGAGAGAGAGAGAGAGAGAGAGAGAGAGAGAGAGAGAGAGAGAGAGAGAGAGAGAGAGAG